AGGAGCAGGAGCAGTAGCAGTAGCAGTAGCAGTAGCAGTAGCAGTAGTAGTAGTATAATGATATAATTTTGGGGGACAAACTATCCAGATGACATCATTGACATTTCATTTTTTGGTTTCTTTATCATATGAAACAAGCAGATTCCATGTTGCCCTACATCTGTTTTTTTCTTTTTCTTTCTTTTTTTTTTTTNTTTTTTTTTTTTTTTACAGCTGTTTGAGTTGTCGGAAAGATTGAACAGCTCTCCTTTGAGTGGTGCTTCCCTTTAAGACCTTTCTATTGGCTTAAAATTTATGATATTGCAAAAAATATCAATGGCAGTGATAGTCCTCTAGTGCGCAAGACTGGAGCAGACTAATGTATTGCAGTGAACACAATGTGGATGTAGAGCTTGATTGTGACTATGATGTTTGTGTAGAGCTACAGAAATTTACCATGTGCATGTACTGTATATCTTTTTCCAATAGGCTTTGGACCTTCAGAATCACATCACCAACATGAAGGTTCCTTTTGAGGGTTCCAACATCACTCTGGAAGACATCTGCTTTCAGCCACTGGCACCACAAAAAAACAAGTGTACCATCCAAAGTATCTTCCAGTATTTCCAAAACAGCAAAACCAAGCTCAACAAATGTATCACCAGTCTCAACTACAACTGTTCCAGTCCACTCGGGAAACTTGACTTTCGTAAGGGCGATTTTCATGATCATATCTTACTGTGTACAAGGTAAGTTTTTCTTTTTTTAATCAGTGTAGCTGACAAAACAACCTCAGTACCAGCACAACATATACTGATATGCTCTCTCACCTCCAGTGGGGTCCGAAATTGCAACCAGTTGGTCGCCAATGTGACTGAAAATTGAGTGTTAAGGGCTCGAAATTGCGACTCACTGGTTGCCAATGCAACCAAAAATTGAGCACTGGTGACTAAACTTTCAGAACTTTTCGCCAGCTGGCGACTCGCATTTTGTCCAATAACTAAAGAAAACCACAACACAACTTTTGTTTTTAAATCTTTATATTAGGAAATCAATTGGATATGGTAGCTAGTATACAACTCACTTTTCCGTCACCAGTAAAATGTCTGAATATTAAAAGATGATAGAAAAAATTGAATGTATTGCGACACATCGATACTGCGTTCACAGCGCGCCATACTGTTTCAGCGGCTTCTTCCAAAACTGGGATCGCAGGCACACTTCAATACCATGTGCTTTTCATTTGCTGCGAAAATGGCAGCAGATACCAATCAGTTAAGGAATTGTGTGAGTTTTTACGTGCAGGGAATGAAATCCAAACTTTGAATCCTTCATCAGTTGTTGACGTAGGGAAAGTGGATTTCACCAAACTGCTGAAGGAGATAATATCCTAGCAACAAGCTTAATTCGAGGCGTTGAGGAAAGCAAGTCGAAAATAAAGAATGTCATTTTGAAGAAGTAGCAAAAGGAAAATACACAAGGACCCGTGTTTGTCTCACAATGAAAACCATGGACTTAAAACTTTTTATGCTTTGCTTCATTTAAAACGACCATGGAGACTACCATCACCTTCAGACCAGAGACATATTACCTGAGAACAATGGTAGCTTTATAATTAAGTGTTACTCTTGTTGTTTCTAATTGTTTTTGCTCTTCAATTGTGATTTTTCTTGCATGCAAAGTAACGTATAAAATCGTGTTTTTGTGTAAGTTATATATAAAATAAGTTGGCAACCAAAAGTTACAATCTGGCGACCAAAGTTTTTCTGTTAGTCGCCAGCTGGCTCCCGAATGAAAAAGTTAATTTCGAGCCCTGGTGTTGGCGACCAGAATTTTAAGGCTAGTCGCCATTAGGGGACTAACTTTTAGAGTCTTGAACTGGTGTTCAAGGAATTGGTTTTGTTTTAAATCGAAAAACTTTGTGTTTGGTTTCAAGCAAGAAACTTAGCCCTTGTCTCTTTGAAGTTTTGAACCACAGAAAATAATTTAGATCAAAAATGAAGGTAAGATTACTGTTAAATAATTTAATTATTAACCCCAAAACAGTTATAATCAACGCACTGTAATCAACATTTAGTGCTGCCATGTTTTCAGCGGTTTCAACTGCCAGCCATACCGTGGGCGCATGGCAGAAACACATGCTTTCCTTTCGAGCAACATGGCCGCTTGCTTCGTGCATGGCTTCTTGGAGATTTCGTACTGATAGCACGTAGGAAGAAAATGATGTTATGTTCAGTCTCCAAACTAAGCGAGCTATCTATTTGACAAAAACTCCATTTCAACTGAATTGTAAGCTACATGATATTTTAATGCCTTTACATGTGGAATCTGACTCTTGCGATCATTCAGGTGTAGGAATATTTTCACACAAAGAAGTGTCTTGAAAAACTTCACATGGTTTGTCTTTCGCTCTGAAGGAAAAATTTTCTTGGCACTTTTTGGTGACCACATTTTTCCATCTGGTGACTGAAAAAAAAATTTCAGTCGCCAGTTGGCGCCTGCCTAAAAAAAAATAATTTCAGACCTTGTGCTGGTGGGAAAATTAAAGTAAACAGCCACCTACAAGAAGCTAGTGATTAAGAACCTGGCTCCAGTTGTTCAAAGGCTGGATAACGCTATCCATAGGATAAATGGCTCTCCAGTGGATAAATGTTAACGAAACAAACCATGCTATCCAGTGGATAATGATTTATCCGGTGGATAGTGTTATCCACCTTTCACACAGTGTCCCCGATTAGTAAGCTTAAGGCCAGCTAGAACACTAGACACTCAAATAAAGTTATTATTATTATTATTATTATTATTATTATTATCATTATCATTATTATTATCATCATCACACAACCTGGGCCCGTTGAGCATAAAATTTGTAACAGGTTCTTACGTTCTTGTGTATGTGTATACATGTACATCTGTTGCAGCACATTTACACATACAACTTGAAATAAATCAGGGGATTGAGAATGATGTCTAACTTTGTACTCTACTTGGGTAAATAAGTGTCATTTATACTGATTTATTACACTTGTACATTGGAGATTCCTTGTAGGTTGGTGTTTATTTGTTTGAATAAAGTGAAAATTAATCGCTTGAAAGAACTCTTGAGAGCAAGATTCACCGATAAACACTAAGACACAAACAACTCCTTTAGGAGCCACCAGTCATGAAAAAGTCAATGAACAACAGCAACACGCTCTCAGTTTCTTTTATGTTTATTTCTTGACATCTGAAGAAGTTTTATGGATATTAATTAGGTCTTTGAGAACTCCAAACACAGATGTATCTGTGGATAAACAGCACCCTTGATTTTTGGCTTCAATTTTGTGAAAAAAAGTGCTGCTTATACATGGATGTTTACAGTACATGTCAGACACATTCTTAAAGAGTCCGTGAAAATGTGGCATGTAGGATTTATCCTTATCTTTAGGTGTCATGTTATAACCAACAGTCCTTGATAAGGAAGAAAATGTTTTAGTCTGAAAAAATTAATTTTGATGCCATACAATGTAGGAGTTACTGGACATATTATTTTAAATTGAAGTACATGTAACTAATACTGTCGGCAATCCTGCCTTCAATGGGGTCTTGAGTATCCTTCCCTACCTAAAAAGAAATTGATGGATTCTGAGGGAAACAAGACCTTGAAGATTGCTGAATTGTCCTCTAAAAGTCCTTGTATAGTCCTTGGAAAAAAGGTTTGACATTGGAATGAACCATGTTGATCTGTCTAGGAATTGACTATTTTGGGATTACTGTAACTGTAAGCTTTGCTCTTTTAGTTCTCCAACGTCCGTCAATGACACCAAATTAAATGAACCATGTCTTGGTGCATATGGAGGCCCTGTGAATCCAAATATTGCATTAGGCGGCTTTGATGGTACTGCCTATGAGAATGCTACGACCATGATTATTACTTTTGTGGTTAACAACTACCAAGAGAAAAGCAAACTCGCCAAGGCAATGGCTTGGGAAAAGGCCTTTCTGAAGTACATGAAAGATTATGTCCGGAACAGCTCCAACGCAAATCTCACAATCAGTTTTTCAGCAGAGCGTGCTATTCAAGATGAGTTGGATCGTGAGAGCAACACTGACATCATCACCATCTTTGTCAGCTATATGATCATGTTTTTATACATCACAGTCGCTCTTGGACAGTTCAAGAGTTGCAGCAGAATTTTGGTAAGCAAAGAATTCCTTGCCAAGGACTGCTTAATGCATGATGCACATCCTATAGATGTAGTTTCGCTGTTTTCTTTCATCTCAGCATTAAATAATACGTGATATAATGGATTGAAATATGAATCTGGACCTTTTCCAGAATTGTTTGTTTGATATTGCCAATTTATTCTTCCCTTTGTTTGATTTCAAAATCAATTCTTGCTCAGGATTGGCAAAATTTGTTTACATTGTATGTACAGTACTTGTTGAACATTGCACACTCTATGTAAACACCCCATGCTCTGTAGAGCAGTGAACCACATTAGGGACCTTAAGATACAAGGACAGGAAGGCCCAGATAGGAAAGGGAGTGCATGCAGGAAACTTTCACAGATCCCGTCGTGTTGCCAAAGACAAAATGATTAAGATGAGTATTTTCGCAATAGACGGCGACGTCAATAACTTGAACTTCGTAAAAGCTATTCACAAAAGCAATGACATCCTTTAGACTAAAGAGATCGTAGAAATCTTATCCTATTAAGCTGAAGCGATGCGTAAGCAGTCGATGCTGAATTTATTCTTCTTTTTAAGCAAAGCAATCATCTCTGTCAGTATCGAATTAAGAAACCAGAATTTCCATATGAAAAAATAAAGCGAACATTCTGATCTGATGGACCTGCTTCAGATGGCTTTTTACCACCAGAGCATTTGAGAATCCTGTCGCTGGAGAATCCGGACTTTGGGTGAACATTTCAATTTCCATCTGTAATGGTAACAAGCAGTATAAATATATAACAAACACTACATCAAGTTCTGGGTAGTATAAAAAAAACAACAACATCAGTTTGAAAATGTGCTTTTTATTTGCTTGATAGATGTTTTCATGGCACTCATTCTTACAACATTTTATCGACTGTACTTACACTGATGTATTCTCAATGCATACAGTTTGTATTTCATTTTGAACTTGCACACTCGTGATGGCGACTGAACAGTGACTGAAACACAAATGAAAAGACAAGGAATATTGTTATTCACATTTTTTCGTATTTCTGCATAGTATTTCTACACCACAATCATGAGAAATGTCTGCCTAATAGACAGTCCCATCGATTTGAACATTTGTCAGGGAAAAACAAGAGCAAAATACTGACGTTTTCAATACAATGGCAAGTCGGGCGAAATGGCGTCCTCGACAAGACAAGGACGGCAGAGAGATGAGTCGAGATTTCTTGTGCACATGCCCGGTTGAGTAAATTTACTTCCAGTAGCCATCCTAGCTCGTGCCATCTTGGTATCTTAAGGTCCCCATTGTATTGCCAAGAGATACAGTGAGTAAGTGACCCCACAGATGTTCTTTAAACTTTGAGAAAGCTATTNTTTTTTTTTTTTTTTTTTTTTGTGTTGAAAGATCGACTCTAAAATTACTTTGGGATTCAGTGGTATCCTGATTGTGTTATTCTCGGTTGTGGCATCACTTGGTTTTTGGAGTTACATCGGTGAGCCTGCAACACTCATTATCATTGAGGTGGTTCCTTTCCTTGTCTTGGCTGTGGGCGTGGACAACATCTTCATTCTGGTACAGGCATACCAGCGTCAGAACAATTACATTGACGATGATGTCCCTCACAAAGTCGGACGAGTGCTGGGTGAAGTAGCACCTAGTATGCTTTTGACTTCTCTGTCAGAGTCGGTTGCCTTCGCACTGGGTGAGTAAATTATTATCTTCTGGTTTCAGGTGGCTCCATAGGGTACAGATTGATAGACCTCATGAAAAACAAGAGCTAGCTAAAGAACAACTTACATTATGGACATTGTACCTACAGTGTAGAAAGTTCCTGACTAGTTTGCACCTGTAGAGTCTGTGTCTTTGAATTGGTTTTTTGTCAACAGTGAAAAAAATGACAGTGAAGGCTAGCAATAGGTATTTTAGAGCATGGTTGTCTTCATATATTCTCTTTATACATCAATACAGACTACATATGCAGTTCAAACTGAAATGGAAAATGTAGCTTACCCACTTGTCATTATGGGAAAGAGCTGTCACAGTCTAAGGATTAGTAGACTACATGATCATGAATTACAAGGCATATTCACAATTGGCACTATGGGAAAGAGCTGACACGATCCAAGGATTAGTAGACTTCATGATCATGAATTACAAGGCAACATTCACAGTTGCTGTATATGTACAATGTATGCACCCTCACTAATTTACAGGTTAATGCCTGTTCTTACCTGTGCAATGCTGTGGTACAATGTACATGTAGATGTATGTATACAGGCACATGAAACCAGGGCTCTGAACTGTAGTAACCTCACCATATCAGGTGATGAACAATCAAGGGAAATAATATGTCATGCTATAGTTTTGAGTAGACTGTTGTTGCTTTTGTTTCATGATACTATTATTATTTTATAGGTGCAATGTCTACAATGCCTGCAGTTCGAATATTTTCCTTGTATGCAGCAGCGGCAGTGTTTTTTGACTTCCTGCTACAGATTACAGCTTTTGTAGCTCTGTTGTCTCTGGATTCCAAGCGTCAAGAGAACAACCGCTTGGATGTGCTTTGCTGCATCAAGGAGCCTAAGTACAACACCCCAAGTGATCAAATGACGTGTGTGTATACTTTTATGAAGAGCTATTTTGCAGAAGCTTTGCTTTCAGATTTTATTAGGCCAATTGTGGTGAGTAGTTATTCACATCAATGAAAATAATTGAATTCAAGAAGCATAAAAAGGAAATAAACTATTGCTCTGCTACATGGCTTTCATTTCAAAACCTTGATCTTAATGAGCTATTTGACTGTTGGTTGGGAGAGTATATAGGACTACATGTAAATGTCATTTAGGCAAGGTGAAAGTGAAAACAATTCTGGCCGGTGATCTCCTTTGCTAATGTGGCTTCATCTTTGGGTTTTAACAGGGCTCTTGAATTTACAGCTTTCCCTTTGAGGTCAAGCCATTTTACTTGCTTTTTTTCTTAGCTTTCAATCTTGGTGAAAACCGTTAACTTCCACTGAGCTTTCATGCACCTTCCCCACAATCATCTTTTGCTAATGAGTTCAATTTCAGTTTTACAGTTTCTAAGTACATTGTACATGCCATTTTCAGGTGTTTAATTTAATTTATATGGTACAGTACTTGTTCTTCATACTAAGATTTATGATTTTCACAACACAGATTGCCCTTTTCACTGGATTGCTGTTTGCAAGTATTGCTGTTATCCCAAAGATTGATGTAGGTCTTGATCAAGAGCTTGCACTACCCAAGGTATCTGCAATAAAGAAAAACTTGAGTTATACAATAGTACATTCAACAAATCGAACGTGGCTTAGGGTGGTCTGTACCCTTATCGACAACAATACACGTCATCACAGTGGTCAAAATAATGTGGACTCGCCAGGCGCAGCCGAGTGAGTCCACAACAAATTTTGACCATTCTGATGACCGGTGTCATTGTCAATAAGAGTACAGACCATGCTGAACCACATTTCGATTTGTTTTTTACCACAATATCAACCTCAAAGAAAATGTTTTTTTTCAGAGTGCAAGCTGAAAAAGGTATGCGTGATACATTGACGCGAGCAGTGTTGTCTGGACTCTTATTGACAATGGCAAATTAGCCAATCAGATTGCGAGATTAGTAGCAATTATAGAAGAATAAATTATTAACACCTATGTGCACTCACGGTATTTTGGTTGTCAGTATGGTTCAGTTATACTGGCACCAACGTAACTGTCCTGGTATATTTAGGTTTTTGGAAATCAGGTTGATTTTTTTGTGCATGTAATGCACAACTGTGTGTAAGACTAAAATCTTGCTCATTTTCTGCAGTTGAACATTCCAAAATTACTCTTTCTTACAACCGTTGTTTTGCCGTTTATTCAGGACTCTTTCCTCCTCAAATGGTTCAAAGATATGAAAGACTACCTACATGTTGGTCCTCCAGTGTACTTTGTGCTGAATGATGGGTATGATTATGAACATCCCAAGGGACAGAACATGATCTGCGGCTCAGCTGGGTGCAAGGCAGATTCACTGGTACAGCAAATCTATGTTGCTTCACTGTTACCTGAAGAGTAAGTGGCAGGCCTTTCTTGAACAACTGGTAGATTTATACTAAAACAATTANCCCCCCCCCCCCCTCGGGCAACTGGGGGGCATTTGCTCACTTTGTCAGTCCTGGGGGTGGGGCAGTAGCAATTTTATTGTGGCCCGGGGCCCGGGCATTTGCATACCCTGAGACGATCCCCGGGCACTTGACACACATGTTTTTGAAAGTGCCATGGATGAGTTCATCGGGAAAGACGAGGCACTTGTCAAACAATGGCTTGTCCGTCAGGGACTAGAGAAACTTGTAGATGTTTTTGAAGGTACATGCATGTTTTCTNTTCATGTCTTACCACACAATCCTCAAGACATCACCTGAGTACACTGCAGCTCTAAGGAATGCACGTGTGATTGCTGCAAACATCTCAGACACACTTGGTGCGGAAGTGTTTCCTTACAGGTGAGGATATCATTTGAGTGCGGTTGAATCTGACTATTTTGAACAATTATTTGGTTTCATGTATTTTGAATTCCACACACGATCTTCTCTTTTCAGTCATTTACCTCTGGCTACAGTATGTCAAACATCTATCATCTTTATTTTGTTGTTGTTGTTGTTTCCCTTATTTTAAGGGCTCGAGATTTTAACCTAGTTTATATTTAAATTAAGGGGGCCCTGCACAAGTTTAAGAGTTTCGTGATCATGTTTCTGTAAATATTTCTTTTTGTTTTTCAACATACAGTCATGTATTTGCTTCTATTTCATGTTTGGCTCCTTTTTCGCACAAGGGCTTCCAAGTACTTTTTTTTTTTTTTTTCTTTCACCTTAAACCAGCTCACTCAATGTGTAATGTGTATCATGAATTTCTTTGGCTCAAGCAAACACAACAGACTTGGTTCATTTACTGTTCATTGTTTATCTTGCAGTGTATTCTATGTTTTCTATGAACAGTATCTCACGATAGTGAAGGATACTTGGCAGAATCTTTTGTATTGTGCAGGTAAGTTTTTGTTGGTGTTGTTCTTTAATACAGTCAAACCTCCCGTTGTGACCACCCCTCCTCAGCAGCCAGTTTTCCAAAATATCAAATGTTGCCATGACAAGTCAAGCCACTATATTTGAAACACCTCTTAAGTGAGCACCTCTCGTTAGCAACCGTGACCTCTTTTAGAGCCAAACGTTTGAAATTTTCTTTAGATTTTAACCTTCCATAAGTGACCATTTAACAGATGACATAGTGGAAATTGGATAATAAGTTGTTATAACATTATCGCATCTCTGGGTAGCACAAGAGAGTGAAATTTCTCAATGGGAAGTACCAGATATTTTTCTCAAAATTTATTTTACTCATGAATAAAACACTAAAATATGAGGGAAGTCTCTACAGTTACTATATGCTAATGAGGCAAAATTTTGACCCAATATGGCAGAAGCTCTGGTGAGTGACCAACTAGGCGTGGCATTTTGGATGGTTGCTTAGGGGAGGTTTGACTGTTTGCTTTGTTTTCTTTAGTTAAATGTAAAATGTACATGTAGGTGTCAAAAAAGTTCCTGGACGTTCCTTTGAAGTTTCTAACGCAGTTTTCTTTGTTGTTTCAGCTGCCATCTTTGTTGTCACTTTTGTTCTTATGGGATTTAACTTGAGTATAGCTGTTATCGTGACCTTCACAGTGGCTATCATTATTGTCGACCTGCTGGGTCTCATGTACATATGGGATATCTCTCTCAATGCCGTGTCGCTGGTTAACCTTGTCATGGTACGTTCAAGAAATTTGAATTCCACTGTATAACATTTACAGCATAAGACAAAAGATATTTTTAAAACACAAGGTGCGGTCGTTTGCTTTGTACAGGTTACATTTGTAAACTGTTCAAGTTTTCAAACCAATACTGTTTGAGTTGAATTTTCCTTGTTGTAAGATGATGACACTCTGTATTTGACACCCTGCGATGGACTACATGTAGCTTTTCTAGGGGTTGAATTGTATGAGGTAACATCATAAATGATATGCTGATTACTGAGATATCCAAACGCCATCACATACACTATTTCCTGTGTTTAAACTCTATACCTTTTTCATGAGTTTGAGGATTGTTCTGACACTTGCTTTGTTTAATTGTTTTCTTGTTTCTACTCTTTGGTTTGCAGGCTCTTGGTATATCAGTTGAATTTTGCTCACACATTGCACGGGCTTTCGCTGTGAACAGACAAGACTCTAGGGTAGAAAGAGCGAAAGAAGCTCTAGCAAAAATGGGCAGCTCTGTAAGTTTGCTGTTTGTAATTTAATGCTTTTATTCTTACATGTATTTGCTGGGCATAAAGATACATGTATGTAATGATCGTGTGGTGTTCATGTACATCCATGTCCAATACTGTCAAGTATATTTGATCTGAAAAGAGAAATTTCGACTCATGCAATTCACAGAGCGACAACTCTTCTCTTCGGATCGTGCAAAATAACACTCTGTTCGTCGGGTCGAACGAATAGGTAGAGTTAGACTATGAGTTGTCCCTCTTTCACTTACTCCGTTGTGCGTGGCGCGAAAGTAAACCGCGAGGAGAAAATGGCGGCGCGAACTCCTGGTCTCGCCCTCAGGATTTCACGTGGCCATTGATTCCTCGTGGTTTATTTACGGTCTCGCTGAACGGACTGAGTGAAAGAGGGACTACTCGTAATCCAGGTATAATCGAAGTCCCTGTTTTTGGGGTAGAACCTGTTTGACAGTTCTGGACAATACTCTATGTATACAGCAGGTGGTGTGGTAAGAAAGGTAATTCACGGAACTCCATATCAAGTTTTAACATTGATCAGGGTTTCTGTTTTGTATTCTTGGGCAAGACACTTCACTCTGAGAAATAAACGCGAAATAAACGCAAAATGAACGCAAACAAATTGTCCGGGCAACAGGAATGTGGTGGGGCTCCATTAGCTGGACCATCCAGAAGAAGTGTCAGTTCTAAAGTTTTCCTTTACATAACAGTCACCTCGCAATAACTTTAACCTTGAAGGCAAATTGAAAAAAAGTTCGAGTTATCTATTGTTCGAGTTTACGGGAATATAGAACAAATGACCAGGAATAGGGAAAGAAACGATGTTTACTGTATTTCTATTCATACAGTGAACATGTTAATCAAATTTTGATGTTGCAATGAAACAATAGATTTCTAAATTATTGTATAAATCAGACCGTATAAACGTTAAGAGAAGCAAGAAAGCAAGCAAAGCAGCAGGAGAAGTCCAGGTATTGCGGATCTGTATTGAATTATATTGTGACTAAAACCTGGCCCTCCTGTCTTTTCACTGCTGGTGTAGTTGAGGTCAGAACCCAAAGTATATCCCTCCCC